TCTGTGTGTGTGACACACACACACACACACACACACACACGCGCACGCGCCCAGGCAGGGCCGCTTCAACAGTTTCATGTGTGCATGAACTGAGCTGCCTTCGAATGTGCAAAATGAGAAGGAGAGTATGGAGCAAGGGGCTGTGAGATGCAACCCCATCCCGAATCCCCTCCCGCTCCTTCTCCCCCTCCTTCTCCCCCTCCTTCTCCCCCTCCTCCTCCCGCTCCTCCCGCTCCTCCCACTCCCCCTCCTCCTCCCGCTCCTCCTCCGGCGAACAATGTGACAAAGATCCCGCCTTAGCCCCGCTCCTGCTTCTTCTCCTGCTCCTCCTCCCTCTCCTCCTCCCTCTCCTTCTCCCGCTCCCTCTCTTGCTTCTCCTCCCGCTCCTTCCTTTCGCTGCTTCTTTTGCTTTTCCCCCCGTTCCTCCTCCCCCTCCTCCCGCTCCTCTTCCCGCGCCATAGCCCCGCTCCAGCTCCTTTCCCGCTCCTTCTCCCACGCCTCCTCCCGTGCCTTCTCCCGTTTCTCCTCCTCCTCCTCCTCCTCCTCCTCCCCCTCCCGCTCCTCCGCCAAAGAACGTGACAAACATCCCGCCATAGCCCCGCTCCCGCTCGTTCTCCTGCTGCTCCTCCCTCTCCTCTTCCTCCTCCTTCTTCCGCTCTCCCTCCTGCTGCTTCTCCTTCTCCCGCTGCTTCCTGCTCTTTCACCCGTTCCTCCTCCCGCTCCTCCCGCTCGTCCTCGTGCTCCTCCCGCCTCTCCTCCTCCACCTATATCTCTTCCCCCTCCTCCGCCTCCCGCGCGTTCGTTAAACCACTCCCCGTTTCCCCTCCCGCTCCTCCTCCCGCTCGTTCTACCGCCCCTGCTCCCCACCTATATGCAATTTTTTGTTTCACATGTACGACGATGGCAGTCAACGTTGCACTCGTGCAGTACGGCACCCTGACGTGCAGTACAGCACCCTGACTGTCATGTCCAATTTGCAGACACGGACAGGGACTGGAACGGCAATGCCGCTCCCTATACAATTGCAGTCGGCGTGCCTCTGTGTTCCTACGCCGTCGGAGCCATGTAGGCTGTTGTGACATGTCTGTCCTCGCTGGCGTGCCAGTCGATGGAGCAACGGCAACCGCGAGAATTGGATGCCGTGCTTTGCTTCCACAGTCCACACTCGGACGAGTCCTGTCACGAAAAGCGAAGGCAGCTGTCTGGGTCTCGACTGACGTTGAGGTGCGAAAGCATGCGGAGCAACACAGGATTAGATAGATCCGGCCGGGCTCCGACAGTCCACACTCGGAGGAGTCCTGTCCGCTGTGTAGGGGTGGCCACTTACACTTACCATAGGGAACAGGAGAGGCGGTTAACGGAGGCCCGGATTTTTAGAAACTTGTCGTGCAATTTCTAAGAAAAGCCGAAGCCCTTTTCAATCAGACAGACTTGTCTGTCACCCATACATAGAGTGAACACCATACTAACTTTAACAACAAAGAAAAGAAGAAAAAACAAGAAGAAGAAGAAGAAAAAAAAAACAGCATAAAACTTCAGCAGGGCAAAGGTGCACACTTTCATGCAAAAAAAATTGCCAAGTTTTGCCGAATTTGAAATTTCTTAAATTCAGAAATATCAACAGAGGAATTTTGAACGGTCCAAAACCAAAAGACACCAAATTTGACACACGGCAGTAACCCTGACCTAGAACAAAAACATGGCAAAAAGGAATAAAAAACGACAACAGAAAATTGACCCCCAAAGTTCCCAAACTGTAATTTCAGCTTACGGCTCGGTAGTCAGGGGCTGATGAGCTGAAACCAGGGGGGAGTGTGACTTAGTGTTCCTCTCCTCAAGTTTCCCCTGCCCCTCGGCTCTTTTTTTTTTTTTTTTTTTTTTTTTTTTTTTTTTTTTTTTTTTTTTTTTTTCCTTTCCCCCCCCCCTTTTTTTTTTTTTTTTTTTTTTTTTTTTTTTTCCCCCTCGCGTGTCTTTTTTTTTTTGTTTTTTTTTTTTTCTCGTGTTTAGTTTTGGCGCGCCGTTTCCTTTTCATCGCGCGTCCGTCGTTTTGTGTGGACGCTGTCTCTTATACACATCTAGATGTGTATAAGAGACAGTAACAAGGTTATCTATCGCCGAAGAGTCGAAGACTATCGGCGATATCTTCAGGGTGTTTGGGCCTATCTAGAGATAGTTTGGGTTTCTGCTGTCGGCACGATCACATGGGTCAACATGAAGAGGGCATGGCGGGGAATGTGACATCGCCAAATGCAGGGTGGCTGTCGGTGTTATTCAGTGATAACGGTTCACCGGAGGACATAGAGGACAGCCAATCCTGCGGCCAATTGTTCTGGGCAACTAGCGCGCCATCAGCAGAACAAGCAGAATGCAGTGCGGAAGGCGATAACCATAAAGGAGAGGTGGCAGATGCGAACAAGAAGGAGTCCACAGTAAATGGGCGAAAGCGAGATCGAGATGAATCGCATAGCACAGCTAGCTGCAAAGCAAGCCGGGAGAAGATGCGCAGAGACCGGCTGAATGAGAGGTTCACCGAACTCAGTGCGCTCCTGGAGCCAGGCAGACAGCCGAAGACGGACAAAGCCACCATCCTTGTGGATGCAATCCGCATTGTGACGCAGTTGCGTAACGAAACGGCGCAACTGAAGGAAACTAACCGACAACTGTCTGAGAGCATCAAGGAGCTGAAATCTGAGAAGAACGAGCTGAGAGACGAAAAGGCGAGGTTGAAGATGGAGAAGGACAGGCTAGAAATGCACATGAAGTCTATGGTCCCTGCCTCCTATCTAACTCATCCAGCTGCTGCGGCGTTGGCCACCTCGCACGGCCCGAAAGTAGGCTCGACAGGTGCTCCCCCCTTTACGCCTGGCTTTATGTGGCAGTGGATTCCACCTTCCGCATTGGATACGTCACATGACGGTCTACTGAGGCCCCCAGTTGCATAAACTCCCCCTGACGTCAGCGTACCGATTGCTCAGGGACTTCCCCCCCCCCCCCCCCCCCCCCCCCCCCCCCCCCCCCCCCCCCCCCCGTACTTGAGCTCGTCTCCGGCACCGTTGGTTCGACCGACTGTCCACTGTGCGCTTTCTTATGCCTCTGGCAGTAGGCAATCGGCGAACGCTCGCTCATGGAGCAGTCTGCCGCCGAGAATAACGCTTCTGCTGCCGTGCAGATTTTGGCATCGCCTTTCCCATCCCGAGTGTTTGTCTCTCACTCTTTGTAGTCGCGTTTGCGTGTCTGTCGTTTGCATGTCTGTCGTTGCCAGATTTAGAACGCATAAACTCACACAGCATAACTATTGTGGGGCAGTGTGTCCGGAATCTCCACAGATATGCTGCAACTGGCTGATGGTACAGAAATTCGGCCATAACGTCATTGGGACGACAAATGGAAGTGGCGGCGGCGTATCCCATAACTTTTGACTTTGAGGTGTGGGAATGGCGGGTCAAAGAAAGGACACAAAGAAACGTTGGAGGGAAGAACGGAGTGGATTCGGCCGTAGGGTTGTGTGTGTTTGATGCTTCTTCGTCTTCGTTGACCTGTGATCGTGATTGGAATTCCTTTTTGTTCGTTCTGCGTACGTTTGCTTTTGGCTTTTCGCCCCTCCCCCTTCCCCCCCCCCCCCCCCCCCCCCCCCCACAACCCGACCGCTCTCTTAGCATGCGACGTCGTCTAGCTACAGATATCTTTTTTTTTTTTTTTTTTTTTTTTTTTTTTTCATTCTTTGGTGACATCCTCTAGCTACAGATTTACTGATATCTTATTGGTGGAAGCAATGAAAGGTTGGCAAGTGCGAGGATTAACCTATGGATGGGCGGCAAAGAGCCATCCATGGGGATCATCAAGTCACCTCGACGACCAGCTCTGTGTCCTTGTACCTTTCACAGAGGCTTTGCAGAGTTCGACAGGAGTGAGTGGCACTTTTGTACTTTTGTATAGTACAGTGTAAAAGCCTACTAAAGGTATTTTGCTTTGAATGTTCCTGTGACCAAAATACCTTTTAAATTTTAAAAGGTATTTTGCACCGACCACTCTTTGAGCTGACAGAGTGTGAATGATGTTTCACTAATTGGCAGTGTATGTTGCTTGCTGTGCTATTTCTGAATCCTTGTCGAAGCCTAACCGTTCCGTACAGTCCCCTTGTCCATTACTTTGATGATTTATTTAGTCTTTGCATTGTTCGTCTGTTGACGATCGTACGTACGTACGTACGTGCTCCGCTTTGCCGTCCGCCTCCTCCTTCTTCCTCTTCTTGTCTCCTCCCTCCACCCTGCCACCGTCCTCCTCCTCTTTTTTATCGCTCTCCCCCTCTCCTCCCTTTCTCTTTCGGCCCCAGCCGTGCCCCCTTCTTCTCTTTCCCCCCCTCTGCCCCTCTCCGACGTTCCCCCTCACCCCCTGCCCCTCTTCCTTCTCCTTCTCCTTCTCCTCCTCCCCTTCTCCTCCTCTCTTCTCGTCCTCTCCGCCCTCCTCTTTGTCTGTATCCTTTCCCTTTTCTTCCTTGTCAGATTTCTTGTCTGAATGATGCAACCGTAGCAGTCAGTGTGGTGTCCTCGTTTACCACACAAAACGAATTCACAAATTCTCAGAATTGCCTTCTCTTTTTTTTTTTTTTTTTTTTTTTTTTCCAACTCCCAGCCCCTTCTATTCTGGGGGGGCATAAAAAATAAAAATAAAAATAAAAAAATTCTGGGGGGGCATCAGTCCGGTTGCTTCTCGCTGGCAAGCAAAGTCAGAATTGCTCCATTTCTTGTTCTCTTTTTTATTTTTTATTTTTTTTTAATCTCATTTAAACCAATCCACTACTCAAGGACTTTTGCCTTTGCACTTTGACTTGCCTGTACTGGTTGCGTAAATTTTTATTTTATTTTTTCCTTCTCTTTTTCTCTCTCCTGAGTCTCCTCACATTTTTTCTGCAGAATGAACCTCTGGTCAAGTTGCACTAATTTGTTCTTTTTCTTTTTTCAAAAAAGTTGAAGAAACAGAACCTACATTATTTTTTCTTTTTCTTTTTTCAAAAACAGAATATCCATTCTGGGGAGCATCAGTCCCGTTCCTATTCCCCCAGCAAGTCAAAAGAAGGTACATCAGTTAAACGCACACGCTCCTTCCCATTATGGTTGGGAGGGCCGAGTGGATGGCATAACATTTTTTCCTTTTTCCTCTCCTTCTCTTTTTCTCTCTCGTCACTTTTTCTCTGCAGAATGGTGCGTGTTTGGTTTTTTCCTTTATCGCCAATATGCCCCTCTCTTTGTGTCTCTACTCAAATTAGTAATTACACCTTTTTTTATTTTTTTACCCCCAATGTCAAGTTGCACTTATCAATTTTGTATCTGTATTCACTACTGGTATTAATGCCATGCGAAATCGTCAATAGCAGTCAATGTGTGCTGACGGTGGGCAGGTGAAATGTGTGCTGACACTGGGGGAATGTTCTGTGGCCACAATTCAAATGACCTTAAATTAAAAAAAAAAAAAAAAAAAAAAAAAAAGTTACCACGGTAGATAAGATTTCATTCAACGAATTTACGGACGAGTATATATTTTGCATTTATGAACTTTGTTAAGTGCTCAGTAAACTTCATGTCAAGTTAAAAAAAAAAAAAAAAAAAAAAACAGAGCCTTCTGACGTGTAGAATTGTGACCACAAAGATTATGGCTTCGATCCTGTCGAGCAAGTGCCAGCTTGAGTTATGATGCCTCCGTCAGGACGAAGAGAGGGACCCCACTGGTGCAATTTTCATGAACATGGGTGTAATCGCAGCCAGGCTCGTCCTTTCCTACGCTAGCACCACCCACTGGAGCCTTACCCTGAGTGTGTCGGTTATATTTGGAAGAACGCAGAACGTGGATGCTTCCCCGCTCGCTTGTCTCTTTTTTGGACATAATGAACTTGACCGCGATTACTGCCATCTGTTCGGGGGTACACAGTGCACCACCCTGCACTGGCTGCAGCATGAATGAGGGCAAGGGGAGTTTTCAGTAGTGTGCATCCGGCAGCAAAGCTTCTGCTCCTGGCTGCGGTTGTGTATTTTTTGTGGCATATCATTTTTAACAGGCAGGCCCGAGTTGCCCCGGTCTTGCTATTGTGTGCTATAAACTGAGAAAAAAGGTGGTGATTGCGCGTATGCGGTCAACGCCATGGACCCAATGCATGCTGTGAGATGAAATGCCCCGATTAAGTTCAGATCAATTCTGAATTTCTGATGTACCATACTGGGTCGTATGGACCCGATGCATGCTGTGAGATGAAATGCCCCCGATTAAGTTCAGATCAATTCTGAATTTGTGATGTACCATACTGGGTCGTACCTTCCTTGGTTATATTCTAGTCATTCGGATTGCTCAAAGTTCATTCCGGTACAGGAAGTAATACTGTTAATGCCGCCGTCTTGGGGTCCCCCTTGTGCACAACGAAGGGGGGAAGCGTAATCATGTGTGTTTATCGTTGGAAGGGACATATAATAGATAGCCCGCCAAAAAAAAGAAAGAGCAAAAATCATGGAAGGATATTCTGCGTTATAGCCTGCAGCTAACTCAACTTCCGCCGCTTCTGGGAAATCAGAAGAAGCACGATTGTTTTCTGCTGAACAAGCTCTGCGGTGGATTCTTGCAGGCGCCTTGTGGAGATGGCGTTAATTTTTTTTGTCTGCGGAAATACACAATGCTTTGATAACAAGATATGTGCAAAATGAGAGGGGGGATTATAACCTCTTCGGTAACTTTTACTTATATGCTATGATGTTAATAGGCAAACATGTCTTTCATGGGGTTTTGTTTTTTACCTGGATCTACTCCGAAGGATGTGATCTTAGAACTTGCTTATACTAAATATACCATATGCTAGGGTTGGCGGCGTTCGGGTTCGGCCGAACTCCCGAACCCGAACCTGCCGAACGTCCGGCCCCCCTTGGGGATGCGTTCGGCCGTTCGGGCCGAACGCGAAAAACTGGAAAAAATGTATGTTATGCAAAAAAAAAGTACAACTAACGACATTTGCCTCAGCGTTACATCCAAATTCCTTACCAGATTTGAAATAAAAATTAAATACGAAAAATTAATAATAAGAAAAAATAATAATAATAATAAATAAAGCCCAAGCGGGCTAGCTCAGTTGGTTTGAGCACGAAAGTGGTTTGCAGGAGGTCGTGCGTTTGATTCCCCACGTCATCCGTTCCATCCCCACGGCCTCCTGTGATGCACTTTGGGTTCTCCAGCTGAGATGACTGGTTTGGGCCCCCTGGTTGGTTGGGAACCGCTGGCTTTCCAGCTCGCGCCAGGTGTTACGAGCTTGGGTGTCACTCCCCGCGTAGAGTAGAGAGATTTAGGAGTTTGTCGTAGACTGTCTCAGATAAATATCTTAAGAGTCTGGCCTTCGCAGTTGCTAAGATGTGAGTAGGTAGGTAGTGGGAGGTACATTGAGAGAAGAATATAGGTTAGTTAAAAAAAANAAAAAAAAAAAAAAAAAAAAAAGAGAATTTAAATTTGAAAATTTGATGAGTGGCCGAGCACGTTTTCGACACCTCCATCTTTGCTCATAAAGAAAGTTCCAAAAAATAATAAAATATTGGAGGCACCAAAATAAAATCAAAACAAAAAGCAAAAAGTGAAGGAAAAAAAAATTGAGTGACCGAGCACGTTTTGATGCCGCCATCTTTGGCGGTTTTTCTTTTTTTTTTTGGCTTGGCAAAACCCCTTGAAAATTTATATGCATATATAGTGTCCTCTTCTCCCTCTCTGCCTACGGTTTACCGGGCAGTTCTATTTGACGATATATAGTGAATGTCATACAGAACTCACGCACAAACTTTCAACAAAAAAATATAATTTTTAGGCCCCGAAATAAATTTTGACGGGGGACGAACCCCTTCAGGTTCGGACCCCGAATGGGACCTCGAATGCCCGAACGTTCGGGAGACCGCTCGGGGGCCCCTGAATGTTCGGCCTAACAACCATATATATACAATTCATGCTTTCGTGATTGATACTTTCGGATCTTTTATTTATCATGGTCGTTGTTTGATGCGTCTTTTAAAGATGTCGAGTCAATCGCATATTCTCATTTAATGTGCGCTGTTTACGATTGCAATTTCCTTATTTTCGACTGACGTGCTGATGCCGGATTTCCTTTTCGTGTTTTATCAATCACGAAAGTATGAATTGTGTCATGAGTGCGTTGTCACCCTCTGGCAATGGACACCTCCTGCGAAAGCATTTTCCCACTTTGTTCGATTGCGCTACTCGGCTTAGCGGAACACATACCGATAACATCATCAAATGGTAGGGAGGTGTTTCCCTCATCGTCATCGTTCAATGAGAATTCATCGTCAGACGAGTCATCACCGATCATCCCTGAAATCGAACAATCGTCTGCGACTGCCTCATCACCCGATGCGGCGTCATCACCTTTATTAGGGAAATCAAAATCAGCATCGGCGTCAACGTACTCAAGGACCGTCATCGATGCCTGATTGCTGCAACATATTTCGGGCGCAGTCTCCAACCTGCGGAGTCCCGAAAACTGCACTAGCGATATCGAACCGCCACGAGTTGTTTTTAGGGAGTAGAATGTTGCAGTGTGCTGAGCGTCGTCAATGAGGCACGTTCACAGGTTTGCAAAAACCAATCGCACCACCTTGCGTGCTCTGTTTTTGTTCGAATCCACAGTTGTGCAACACACTCGAGCATCATACGACTTTGGGAAGTTCAGGCGTTTTGAGCAATAGTTGTTGATGACAGAATGGAAACATTCGTTGTTGTAAGTCATCTTTGCTCGCGTGTACTGAACCATCTTCCAATTCGAAGCAAATTGTTGAAGACCGCGAGATATGGCGACATGAACCCGACCACCTTGTTCGTACAATGCTTCTCTATCAGGCCCACCGGTCGCCTTGCAGAGGTTTAACAACTCGTTCTTGCAAAGTGAATGATCCCTGGTCCAATGATGTGCCAACTGCTGCACATGTGTGGCCAATACGTCCCCGTTGTTATATCTCTCTTCCTGACGCAACCTGCATGCGCTGTACAACCACTTT